TGCCCATCACGCAAGGTTTCTCGCGGATTACGTGACCCCGCTTGTTATAACTGAGTGTTCAAAAAAAAAAACTGCCCGCCAAGTTTGTCAGCAGTGAGGTAACATGCAGTAAGTCGAAGGTCCGACTTTGTCAGTAAGACAAACAATCCTTCATGTTTCGTTCATTCGTTTCGATGGTGAATTGGTACTGGCATATGTCGGAGAGACAAATCTGTCAGCAGCTTGCTTAAAAGCACAAAAGCAGTTGCTGCTGACATTTGCAGCTAGTCGGATTACCTCCTGCTGCCTCTGCCTCTCACTAAGAGAAAATATTAAGCAGGTTTTTGACTGACTAAAATCCCATTTCCTTATCCCCGGAAAAGTCCGGAATGGTGTGGCAGCGGCGGGGAGGGGTGGGAAAGAGAGGCATGGGAAAAAGAGGACCAACAAAGAGACGGACTTACCTTCTTACAATCAGCGGTATTTTTTGATGTTTCAGTTCTTTGCGTGCAATTTCGAGTGGATCAGTTTCACCTTCCAATTCGACCATAACTGGTGCGCCCATAGCAATCTGTAGTGCTCTTGTACCGAGAATTCGCGCTCGTTCGTATTTCGTCATGAACGGAGTTGTAACACGTTCAGCTGACGCTGTCTTCTCCCCCTGTAAAACAGTGGATGTAAACTGACGCACACAATCATGTACACCCACACTACAGCACGACATAAATATATGAAGTCCGTCGTACGGGGACTCAACCTTAGCACGAAACGGCTTTACACTCCCTCCTCAAAAAATGACAGTTCCTCGTACGGCCCAAATGCTATTCACAGCTGCATCCGCTATCAATATTACAGAGAATTACAAGCCCTCAAAAAACGAACAGCTAACTGTTGCCTACCCAAGCCATTATTGTCAATACTTTTGTGTATGTGTGTGTATGTGCGTGTGTGTGTGTGTGTGTGTGCATGTATGCGCATGTATGTGTATATGAGTGTTGTGTCCGTATGTACGTGTCTGTGTGTGCGCGTCTGCCTGTGTTTGCTTAAGTATCTCTGTCACTCACTCTCAGCTCCTCACTTAAAGCAGCTAGCCAGATAATTTTTGTAAATTTTGGTCAATAGCCCTCGACTGGCTCAGAGCTTTAATGCTGATTTTCTAACTTCACTAGACCTCGAGCTATAATTTCAGGAAAATCTGAAGAGGAACTTACGTAAGCAGCTGGATCTGTCAGGGACTAAATTGTGAAGAAACATAGACCTTTCCCAAATGGTGGAAATACTGGGACTCACGCTCAATGTAGAAAGGCTCAATGTATGGAATAAAGGCTCAATGTATCAGTTAGTAGAAGTCCTACTGCGCTCACAGATCCTGTGAAGGTCTGCCCCCTTGTTGCACGGCAACACAACTAAGTTCCTTCCATCAGCAGGCTTAATCTAAAGAGTTTTTATGGGGTCATTTCATTCGCGAGTATCCTTGGCCGCATCTGTGGTGGCTCCCTTTCTACTATGCTGCACTTCTCCGTTCTACAATTGTCTGAAGTTCTCATGTTTGGATGTATACCGACTGTATTGTGTTACTGGCCGTATGCTACCATTCGGGCTACTTCTTCAGAAAGCTCAAAAACGTCATTCCTCAGTGTAAAGTAAGTGAAAAGACGGGCAAAAACTATCCCCTCGAAAATGTTTCTTGTCAAAGCGGTTGGCTACCTTTCAGCCTTTCTCTGTATCTTACGGGCCAGCTGAAGAGGAAATAGCAATGCAATGCACAGGAAAGATGGGCCACAATGTGTCGAATCACAATTATATCCCTCTTTTAACTTTGGTACTGTTGGGGCGGGGGAGGCGCGGGGGTGAGGCACGACTGGAGGCGGGAGGGGCGGACTGTGCTCGATGAAGATGAGGAAAGCTGTGAGGACAACAAAAAGGTACCTCTTCGACAACCGGAATCCGTTCTGCCTCGTCGTCGGCGGGCTCGAGATCCAAATCGTCCATTTGCTCCTCATCTCCGAACTCATCTCCATCCATATCGACCTCATAATCGTCGTCGTCAGCCATTTTTTCAAAACAACTGAAATAGTAAAAAAAATTCCTGAAAAAGTAACCAAAGTATTCCGATTCGACGTATTAAGCACTGTAAAAACGACGTTGAACACGAGTGAAGACAGTTTCAGAGGAGACTGAAGGAGGACCACGAGAGAGGCCTTCAAGTACAACTTCTGCACCGAGAGTGCGTGCCTCTGGTGGCACTTATATAGTGAACTGCTGGTGCCCTTCCTCCTCCCAGAATAGACGCGCACAAGACGAACTTTGATAGGAGAGCTGGGGGCATTTGTGGATCCGGGAAGGAGGAGAGGGGGGGGGGGAACGCAAGAAACTGAAGTAGCAGCTGTTTTACTGCAGAAAACTCTGTTCGACATCGTCTGTCGCCTCTCCCCCCCCCCCCCCCCCCCCCCCCCCCCCCCCCCCC